TGACGAACCAGGCACAGTGGCACAGACCTATAGTGCTGGAGTGGGGGTAGAGGCAACCGGGCCTGGCCAAAATGCTGAGCTCCAGGTTCAGTGAGGCATTCTGTCTTAAAGATAAGGCAGAGCACCATAAAGGATGACACTGGCACAGACTTCTCGCCTCTGTATTCACACATACACCCACACCTCACACAGATCAAGAAAAAGAAGCACAGGCCGTGGTCCTGTGCCAAGCACACCCATCCCACCTTGGAGTGTCCAGCCCCCATCCATGAACCTCGCATAAGCTTTCCTAGAACAATACTAGGGGTTGGGACCAGAACTACTGCACTATGGTTTTGACTGGGATTTTGGTTTGGCTTTCTCTTTATGGCCTGCCATGAAAGTTCAGGTGGGCCTTGAACTCGTGGCGAGTCTCCTGCCTCTGCCTCCTGAGTCTAGCTGTGCACCAGCTTTGACAGGGAGTCTGGACAAGCTGCTTGCCTATGTCCATCTCAGCTTCAGACCTATAAAAGGAGACAAAGATAGTACCTTGCTGGTGGAGCTAGGAAGACTGGGCGCTCGTTAAGTATTAAATGTTTGGAGAAAGTAGGAATGAAGGAGTTCAACAAGCGTCAACACGGGAGGCTGGATAGCTGGCTCAGTGGTTTAGAGTGTTGTTCTAGCAGAAGGTGTAAGTTCAGTTCCCAGCACCCACACCTCCTTTAACTCCAGCTCTAGGGACTCGCATGCCCTGTTCTGGACTCCATGGGCACTGCACCATGCCTGCATATACCCCTACGCAACCTACATGCAATTTAAAATGGTAAATGTATGTGGGATAGTGGATGAGGGGTCTCAAGGGTTCCTGATGTCCTACACTGACTCTCTCTTCCTCTCTTTACACAGAATGCCCTGGCTGAACCTCAGGCCGACAGCAGCTCTGAACCCCCACCTCCCACAGCCAAGGCGGCCCCCTCATCCACAGAGGAAGAGGTCCATTATGCATCCATCAGCTTCCATGAGATGAAGCCCAGGAGTCCACAGGGGTCACAGGACATCACTGAGTACTCGGAGATAAAGTCACACAAGTGACCCGCATGGTGCCATGGCTGGAGGGAGCAGAGCTGCCACAGGGTGAAAGAGACACTGGGTCCCAGCTGGCCAGTGTCCTGCCCAGGACTTCACAGCCATTCCTCTTATCACAAGGGAGTTCTGCTGATGCTCACGCCCCTGCACTCCCTGTCCACCCAATCCTCAGGCTCTGGCAACCACTATTGTGTCCAGGAAACCATAAGCTTGACTTTCTTTTAACTGTATGTGTGTGGATGTTTTGCGTGCTTGTATGTCTGTGCACCAGTTACATGCCTGGTTCCTGCAGAAGTCATCAGATCCCACGGATTGGAGTTACAGAGGTTTGTGAGCTGCCACATGGGTGCCTGGAATTGAACCCAGGCCCTCTAAAAGAGTAGCCAGTGCTCTAAACCAACGAGCCATCTCTCCAGTCCCGAGATTGGTTTTTAGGTTTAACTTTTATTTAAAAACTGGCATGTATTATTTACACTGTGATACATTTTGTGACAATATTTTCTTCCAACAGTATCATGTGCTTTGGCCTTGTTCATCCCTGTTCGTCTCCCGTCTGTCTTCTCTCAGTTGCTAATCCCCTTTTTCTACCCAAACAATCCCTTCTAGTTTCATGTTGTATGTGCCAGTTACTTTTCCAGCATTAAGGCTGGAGAGGCTTATTATGGCCCATGCTTTCTATCTTTCATGGTGAGGAAGGCAATGAGGTGCTTAAGACAGTGGTTCTATGTGGCAGGAACTCCACATTCCTTGGTGGGTCAGGAAACAGTGGGCTCAGGCCAGAATCAAAAGTAGATATCCCTCATCCAGGCCCAGACCCGGACACCTACTTCTACAAGTTGGAACACATGTCTGAAAGGCTCTGTGGCTTTAGGAAATATTGCCATCAGCTGGGTACCAAATGTCCAAAAATATAAGCCTATGTGGACCATATACATCCAAACCCAAACTGGATGGGTAGATGGTAGTTAGGTATATAGGTAGGTAGGTAGGTAGGTAGATAGATAGATAGGTAGATAGATAGACAGACAGAGAGAGAGACAGATATACAGACAGACAAATGATAGACAATTTGACAGAGACACTGCTCAACTCTGCGTAGCTATTTTGGATGTACTGATGAACACAGCTCAGAGAAAGTCAGAAGACAGAGCACTGTGGATGCTGAGGAGCTATCCAAAATGTCTTAACTTGGCTTCTGTTTCCTGACTTTTAAAACCAGTGAGTGTCTTTTGTGAGGGAATAGCACATTAGAATACAAAACATAAGAGGGAACGATGGTGAACTTAACAATTTTTTTTCCAATTTTTTTCACTTTGATGTGAACATAAAACCGTACTGAACCTGTATTTGTGCCATGCACATTACACTTATCACTGCTGATTAATCGATACTTGTTGATTTGTTTTTGAGACAGTATGATGGTTTGAATGAAATGGCTCCTATAGACTCAGGATGTGGCGTTATTGGAGGTGTAGCCTTGTTGGAGTAGGCATGGCCTTTTTGGAGGCTTTGAGGTTTCAGAAGCTCAGCCCAGGCCCAGTGTCACTCTGTCCTCCTGATGCCTGCCAATCCAGACGTAGAGCTCTTAGCTCCATCTCCAGCACCACGTCTGCCTACCTGCCACCATGTCTCCCTCCATGAAAATAATGGACTAAACCTCTGAACTGTAAGCAAGCTCCAATTAAATGTCGTCCTTTATAAGAGTTGTCATAGTCATTATGTTTCTTCACAGAAATAGAACACTGACTCAGACAGACAGGCTCACATATATTCCAGGCTGGCCTAGAACTTGCTATGTAGCTGAAGTTGACCTTGAACTCCCAAGCTTCCTGCTTCCAGCTTCTGAATCCTGGGATCATAGCTATATGCCACATGCTCTCTTAAATATTTATCTATATTTTTCCTTTGTGTGTGTGTGTGTGAGAGAGAGACGCACACACAGAGAGAGACAGAGAATGAGAGAGAGGGGATGACAGAGAGAGACAGAGAGACAGAGAATGAGAGAGAGAGGGGATGACACACACACACACACACACACACACAGAGAGAGAGAGAGAGAGAGAGAGAGAGAGAGAGAGAGAGAGAGAGAGAGAGAAGAGAACCATTCCTGTTGAGTTCTGAAGTGTGGCAGATCCCTTGTAGCTGGAGTTACAGGTGACAATGAGCTGCCCAACACAGGTGGTGGGAACCCAACTCAGGCCCTCTGCAAGAGCAATATGCACTCTCCCTCCAGCCCCTGCCCTGCTCTTTCGGTCTCTGACGTCATCTCTGTGGCTCCGTGGCCTGTCAGATGTAGCTGTGCTTATTCATCTATAACTTAGAAGACACTGGCCTTCCTCATTGGGAAGTCCCTCAGCCAGTGTGTTTCCTAAACCTGCATGTGTGTGAACCCATTCAAGCACTGAACCTAGCATCTTGGGTGTCAGGGAAGGGGCGTGGAGGTCGTGGAGGTGGAGACACCAGCGTAGGGAAGTTCTGGAATTAGAGCCTGTAGTTCTCATGTGACCTTGTCCCAGCTTGGCCAGCTCTGATTGGCAGATGGTGCGATGGTGCTGCTAATGGCCAGGCTGCCTGTGATATCACCCCTCACACCCCTCATCCAGGTCCCACATGGAGTCGTCAATTCATCTGGAAGCCCCCCCCCCTTTTTTTTTTTTTTTTTTTTTTTTTTTTGGCTTCTTCGTCTTACTGAGACTCAGATGATTCCCTCCCCAGAATATTCCTCCAGAGTTACCCTGTGCTGGTCCAGTTCAGCTGGTACCCATGGAAGACTCGTTCTCCCTTGTCTCTCCTTCACCTCCTTGTCTGGCTGCGATGTCTTCTAGGTCTGCCATGAACTCTTATGCCCGGTCTCTCCTGTGGGAAGAAATGAGGGGAGAAGCCACATCGTGTGTTCCTAAAGTCTTGGGAAAGAAACAGATAAAGGGGCCCGACTCTTCCCCTACACAGGTGCCCGTGGAAGAGATGAACCGGGGCTTAACCTCCACGCCCATACTTTTTAATATTAATTTATTTTAACGTCAGAAAGATAATTAGCCTAACCCACCTTCCAAGTATCACTTCTATTGCTGTGATGTAACATCCAGTCCAAAACAACGTAGGGAGGAGAGGGTTTGTCTCAGGTGACAGTCGCAGATGACAGTCATCACTGAGGGAGTCAGGGCTGCAACCTGAAGCAAATCTTCTTTCTGCTCCACACAGTCTGTCATCCGACTGAGAAACTCACCTGCAGCCGAGGGAGACAGCAGAAGTCACGGAGGATGCTGCCTGCTGCTTCCACAGCCTGCTTTCTTTTTCTTTTTGTTTTTCGAGACAGGGTTTCTCTATAGGTTTGGAGGCTGTCTTGGAACTAGCTCCTGTAAACCAGGCTGGTCTCGAACTCACAGAGATCTGCCCACCTCTGCCTCCCAAGTGTTGGGAACAAAGGCATGCACCAGCTCAGTCAGTTTTCTTAAGTATTGTCACCATCATCACCCATCATCACTAGTGGTGCCAACTTTATCACTGTAATTTCTGCAATTTCTGTAATTTCTACAATGCTCCCTATAGGACCACGTGTTAGTGAGAGGTTTAATCCCTATGGTATGGAGAGGTAGGGCCTAGTGAAGGTAACGTAGGTTACTGGAGGGGAGACCATTGAGGGAGGATTGGAAGCCTGGCTCCTTCCCTCCTTTTGCTTTCTGCTTGGCACTGGTCCTGTAGCAGTGTGGGCAACTGACCATGCACTGAAAGTTCTAACACTGTGACCCAAGATTTACCTTCATTTTCATAAGTCAGTAACAGAAAGCTGACTGAAACCATCACCTCTGCCTCCACCATTACCGTCACCACTGTCCACCGCCACTGTGACACCATCATCTCATTATGTATCTCCTAGCAGGCTGGCTTGGAACCCACAGAGACCCACCTGTTCAATACCTCTCAAGTGCTGGGATAAAAGGTGCATGCCAGCATTTCCAGCTAACCCTTAGAGCTTACCATTTCAGCTAGACAGGTGGTTGACCAGTAAGACCCTGGAACACACCTGTCATCACATCCTCTGATACTGGGATTACAGGCACACACTGCCATGAGTGGATTTTACATGGGTGTAGGATATGAATTTAAATCTTCATTCTTCCATAGCAAGAATTTTACCATGTACTATCTCTCCAGCCCCATAACTATTACTAATATTGAATCTCATGCCAGGGTGGCCTTTGGAGTACTTGGAGATATTTTTAGGTATATAAACCACAGTGGCAGTGGGTTTTACTGCTGGCTTCTAATGGTTAGGTGCCAGGGGCAGTGCTCAACACCCTACTATGCATAGGAGAGCCTTACTTGCCATGTCTTACATAACCAACTCTCCCTTAGTACAGGCAGTGCTGAAGGTGAGATGTGGTCCTCTCTGCTGAGAGCATGACTGATCTTCCATCTTTCAACATCTGTCTCCAGCTCCCACATCATGTCTCCATCATGTCTCTATCCCACTCACTACTGGTCCTGGGAGTCTATTTGTCTGCCTCCTATGAACCCTGGTGTCCAGTTCCTGGTCTGTTTCTCCATCTGGCTATGTCTCCTAGTCATAAGGACCCCGTGATGTAGAACAATGGTTACCTGATGTAACGGAATATGATCAGGGTGTAGACCAGGGTTCCATGGATGTAGGCACTTCCCAGGGAAGCCAATGTGATGAGAAATATTACCAAAGATCCTGAGATGTAGAACTCTCTGTGGACATCAGGCAGTGGCCCTGGATGGAGAGGACAACAGGACATCAGTACAACACAGTCATTCAACTCATCCCTCCACCCACTGTCTCAGTTAGAGCATCTTTGGATGTGATAAAATGTCATGACAAAACAAGACTTGGAGAGGAAAGGGTTTATTTTATCTTATATCTATCATGAAGAGAAGTCAGGACAGGGACTCAAGCGGAAACCTGGACACAGGAACAGGCCGTGAGGAGCACTGCTTACTGGCTTGCTCTCCATCATTTGCTTGGCTTGCTTTCTTATAGAACCCAGGATCCCCTGTTGCCCAGGGGTAGCACCACACAGGGGACTGGGCCCTCTCACATCAATCACTGATCAGGAAAATGTCCCACAAGTTTGTCTACAGGCCAGTCTTATGGAGACATTTTCTCTTCCCAGATAAGGCTAGGCTTGTGTAAGCTGACAAGAACCAACCAGCACACACTATAAGCAAAGCACATGTAGGTATCAGGGATTCATCAATAATCAAAATCGATTCCTTGGGACTGTCGAGATAGGTCTGCGTGTGAAGTGCTTGTCAAGCGAGTCCGATGACCTGAGCTCAGTACCTACAACCCATGGGAGGTGGAAGGAGAACCCACTCCACAAAGTTGGTCTTCAACCTTGAGGCGCACTGTGGCGCGCATGGGCACCTCTCCATACACAGACAGCACGAACATACACAATAAAAGTAAAGTAAAACCAAGCCCTGGCCTTCTGTGCTGACAAGCAGGTAAGAGGACGTGATGCTTGATGCTGCCAGCTTGACTGCCATGGACTCACCAACGGGACACCTCTGGGCATGTCTGAGGGCATTTGAGGGGTTTGACGGAGGAGGGAAGAACCACCCCAGGGCTGAGATCCTGGCCTGGATCAGAAGTTAAGCCGAGTATTAACATTCACCCCTCTGCTTCCCGACTGTGGGTACAGTGTGGCCTCACACTCCTGATGCCCTACGTGATGAACTGTGCCTGACACCCACCATCATCACATTGATTTTGTTAGGTTTCTGTTACAGCTGTGATAAGTAACTAATACAGATGCAGACACTGCACGATGGACAGAAATGGCTGACATACTAGTTCCTGAGGATGTGAGTTATGAGGTCAGAAGTGCTGGTTACATGGGGTCATTAACCCACAAAGCACCAACGGCATGCCAGACATTGTGAAAAGGGGCAAGCAGTGAGCTGATGGGTAGCCGGTCTTTGCCTTCCTAAAGCTGAGAGACTTGTGGAGTGGAAAACTCTGAGCTGGGAAGTCTCAGAAGTATGCCATGCTGAACCAGCTCACAGCTTCTCCAGCATGCACAAGCGGGCCGGCCACCTTTGGGACAGTTTTCTATTGTAGAGGGACTTGTCCTGAAAGTGCACATGGGAAAACTGAGTCTGGAAATGGTGGGTGAAATTCCTGCTCCTGGTTCAAATTACTAGCAGGAGCACAGCTCGAATCTGAATCCTTTGAGTCTGGAACATTGTGTATGTGAGTGTGCACAATGTTCACGTGCATGTGTTTGTTCATAGACATGAAAGTCAGAGGTTAACCTAACATTTCATTCTTAAGGTGTTATCCAATGTGGGTTTTTTTTTTCTTATTTTACATATCAATCCCAGTTCCCTCCCATCCTTTCATGCCCCTCACCAACCCCCATCCCATGCCCACCCACTCCACAGGGAGGGTGATGCCTTCCAGGACGGATCATCAAAATCTGTCATTTGGAGTAGGGACTAGGCCCTCCCTCCTGCCTCTAGGTTAAGGGAGCATCCCTCCATGGGGAAAGAGCGCTCAAAGTCCTTTCCTGCACCAGGGATACATCCTGGTTCCACTGTCAGAGTTCCTTACACTGCCCAGGCTTTCTAACTAAGACCCACGTTCAGGGGGTCTGGGTCACCAACGTGGTTTTTTTTTTTTTTTTTTTTTTTTTTTTTTTAAATTACATTTAGTTACTGAAATTACATTTAGTTACTGCCTGTGTATGGAGATCAGAGGAAAAACTTGAGACAGCCACCCCTCTTCTTGTAGAATTGTAAGCTTCTGGGCTTGAACTCAGGTTCTCAGGCTAGGAGGCAAACTAGCCATCTTACTAGTTCACCTTGTTTGTGTGTGTGTGTGTGTGTGTGTGACAGGATCCCACTGTCTATCCTTGCCTGTTGTAGAATTCTCTATATAGACCAGGCTGGCCTCTAACCCTGCTTCTGCCTCCCAAATGCCACAGCATCCCACCTGGCCTCAGTTTTCAAGACAAGCTTTGCCACTGGCCTGGAGCACTCAAAGTGGGCTAGGCGGCTAGCCTGAGAGCTCCAGGTAATCCTCCTGCCTCTGCCCACCCTGGAGCTGGGATCACAAGCACACCGCCACAGCTGACTTTTGCACCCGGGCTCTGGATGCTGAACCCTCCTGTTCACACAGCAAGCCCTTCACGGAGCCAAGCATTCTGCCTGGGCCCCCATTGCTTACTGCCTCTTTCCTTGGCTCTTTCCCTAATTATGCCAATTTCTCTCTTTCTAGCAAATGACTGACCTGTGTGGCTGCTGAGGAGAAAGGGCGGCCTCCCTCATTTGCAAAGTTGCCCCAAGTTCCCGATTTTAAAACCACAAGAAATATCTATTTCTGCAGTATTACCCCACTTTCTCTCCTGGGCGGCACCGAGCTCGGGGAGAAACACAAGGAGGACACTGTGCACTTTCCCACCAGCAGTGGGGTCAGGTACTCAACTCCCTGGCGCGGGGTTTCCTCACTTGTGAATCACTCGCTGTGCCAGGAGGCCAGCACGGGCACACAGGCCAGGACTGTAGCTGCCACTTAGAAAGTAAGTGCCGGCCAGTCTTGTTTCTTGTGGAATTTGCTCTGACTCCAGGACTGGAGACTATGGATGACTGATAGAGTAGGCAGATTTGGACAGGTCCCTAGAGGATGAGGAAGGTATCGCTGAAGGGCTATAGCAGGCCTGAGCATGACAAACATGGCTCTGGCCTTGTCCTTCCTTGCTGAACTGTTAGGTCAGATTTCCACAGCTAGTCACCGAGGCCGAGTCCCTTATTTGGCCGTTCCTCATCCTGAAGCTGACTACAAAGGTCAAGCTGTTCAAAGTATTGATGTCCCACAATCAAAAGCCCCCCTTTGGCTTCCCTACCTAACATGCCCAATTGAAAATTAACACCCCACCCTCACACAGGGCTTCCCCCTTTCCCTTTATAAACCGCCATTTGCCTACGGGCCACATCTGCCTGCTCTCTATCCACACAGCCCTTTGTCCCCCAGGATAAATATCCCTGTCCCTTTCCCTTGTTCCTTTCCCTTCTCCCTCACCCTCTCTCTCTCTGGCTCCTGTCTTTGTCTCCTATTCCTTGCCCTCCGTCCCTCTGGGGCAAATAAATCTCCTTTGCTCTGAGAATATGTCCTGTGCTGACACAGTCCTTTCATGTCACCAGAAGCTGTGAGTGGGGCCTAGCAAGAGAGGGGCCTCCTGACATGGGCACCGCCTAGACAAAAACACTGGAGAGTATGGTGGGTGCACTCACAAGGTGGCTGGATGGTAGCCTCTCTGCAGGAGGCCAGCTGGGTCTCCGGGTTCTCCACAGTGCATCGGTAACTGCTCACTTGCTACCGGGACAGACTGGGGAGGGTCATGCTATCCTCTGAGACACTTAGGAGAGAGCCATTATGGATCCAGTGGTACTTGGGTTCTGGCCTGGAGAAACAGGTACATTCCAGCTGCTGCATACTGGAGCCAGGAACAGCAGTTAGCACACCATGGAAGACATCAGGCCGGGTCCACAGTGATACATAGTCTGGCCCATGTGTAGAGACAGGGCAGGAGACCACAACTATACTTCTGATACCTCTTGGGATGGCATCCCATCCTCTGGACACAAGGTGCCCCACTATGCGCAATGAGCCCACCTCAGGTGAAAACTGAAATACTTCCACTCTGAGTTCTTTTACCTACTGTGGAATAAACTTCGGTAACCCTACACCATAGTAAAAGCAGAAAAAATTCACACTGACTGTGTGAAAGGAAGCAAGCTAAGCTCTGTACATATTTCACACTTGCGTAATCCACAAAACTCATGCCATTTGTCCCAGAAATGATCCATCTTACAGATGCAAATCTCAGAGGAGGGGAAGAGAGTTCAAGTTCCCTGTCCATACAATGGCAGCAAGTAGCTGGGGGCTTAGCTACAGTCTAGGGAGTCCAGTCGTAGTTCCAGACTGAAACCCATAAATGCTAGCATGGAGGCCAGAGCTTGTCTATCCTCCTGTAAATTAGTTTCCTCCAGATGGTGCCATAGCCTTCATTTTAGGGAACAGGGAGACCACTGAGCAGTTCCTAACGAAAATGTCAAAATCTCTGATTATGACTTTCAGTTGAAAATAAATGTAAAGACAGTTCTGAGTTTCTATCTGTTCCTCATATTTGTCGTTGCTGTTGGGCTTGGGATCATGTGGCTTCATGCATTCCAGACAGGCACTCCACTACTGAGCTGTCCCCCAGCCCCTCATTGGGGATTCTGGTCTGGGACTCTATCACTCACTGTAACCCACGCCATGACTCAGTTCTTAACTACAACTTGTTCCTGAGAGGAGTATAATCTGTGCAACCAGAGCAAGAATAAAAACGAAGGCGATTTTCCTAAATTCAGAAGAAAAGAACAAAGTCATTGAACAGACCTGAAGGTTTCAGAGAGTTAATAACTAAATACTAATCTAGACATAATTGGGGAGGAAGAGATGGCTCAGTAGCCAAGAGTGCTTGTTGTTCGTACAAGGGACCTGAGCTTGGTTCCCACACACATAGTTCATAACTGTCTATAATTCCATCTCCAGGGATCTAACACTCTCTTCAGTCTGTTGGTACACACACACACACACACACACACACAGAGAGAGAGAGAGAGAGAGAGAGAGAGAGAGAGAGAGAGAGAGAGTGTATATACTTACACAGATATATACATAAACAGAAGCAAACAAGAAATGTAAACTTGTGATTTAAAAGATTGATTGTAATCTGCTCCTCTCTCTCTCTGTCTCCCTCTCTCTCTCTGGTATGTGTGGTGTATTCATACACATGTGCATGAAGGTGTGGGTGCATACATGACTTACATGTGCAGGTCAGAAGTCAACATCACATTTATTCCTCAATCACTTGAGTCATCTTTATTTTTTTTAATTGAAAAACTTTGTTTTCATACAATATATTCTGATCATGATTTCCTACTCTTCCAACTCCCTCCAGATGCTCCCCACCTCCTTACACACCCAACTCCAGGCCCTTTCTTTTTCTCTCTCTTTAAAAAACAGAGAAAAAAATGAAACAAGCAAACAAGAGCTTTCTGATCTAGTCAGAGTTCATGTGTTCTGGCCAGGCTGGCTGCAGCGAGCCCCGGTGATCAATCTGTGTCTTCCTCCCTGGCCCTGGGTTTACAGGCACACACCACCACACTCAGCATTTATGCAAATGACAGGGTCCCCAATGCTTGTTCACATGCCTCTCTTAAAAAACAAGCAAAGAAAGTGGATCTCAATAAATTCATACTGACCATTTCTAATCTCAGAATAGGGATTACATCCCTCTCCTGAAGTCCAACACCCCATGTAGAGGGCAGTTGTGAACCCACAGAGCTAAATGGCCAGAGCTGGGATTTTTAACCACTCCAAGCGGGCTGCAGGCTGGCTTAGTCTTTCTCAGCAGTGCATACTACGGTCTGCCCCTCTCCCCCTACCCTGCTTCTCTCCCCCTACCCTGTTCACTCAGAGGCCACACTCACTTCTCTGAAGTATTTCTTGGATCTCCTATGGTACACTGAAGATTTCAGCCATAGCTACTGACCCTGTGGACGACCAGAGTCTTGCCATCTGGGGAGACCGTCATGCGGTTATTGACTGAAGTTGGTACAGAATTCACATACCACTTGATGTTGGAGGAGTTGGCAAGACATTTGGCAACCACAGACTCCATGCCTTCCACCAGGACACTGGGTTGTTGAGATGCCCAGAATGCTTCCCAACTCTGGGTGAAGCAGAAGGAATAGGTAAGGCATAGTTTTCAAGCTTTGGGGAATTCTGAAGACACGGCATGGTGAAGAGATGTCAAGAGCTCTAAGATAAGGCAGGTAGAGAAGCCCCAGAACTGACAGACAGGGGCAGAGGAGGGAGGGGTGGGCAGGGCCTGAGTCATTCTGTACCCCAACTGCAATTCTTGGTCGTGAACCGGTGGCCTAATGGTTTTCCCTCTGTGCCTATGTGTGCTGTGTGTTGTATATAGGACGTGTGTTTGTGAGTGAGAGGTGCAAAATCACAGTTACGGGGTAACAATGAAATAAATTTATGGTTGGGGGGGTAACACAACATGAGGAACTGTATTAACGAGTCACAGCGTTACAAAAGTCGAGAGCCAGTGCTCTAAAGGATGGAAGTTCACAACAGTGGGAAATAAAGACTTTTCACGGTTAGACTGAGCCTTGAGAGTGTTGAGGGTCCCATCTCTACAGGAAAGCTAGAGAGCCACTTCCGTGGATCCCAGCGTCCCTTGCAGGCAGCTGAGACCCTGGGCAGTGCGTCCTCCAAGGGATCTCCCTATCAGAGCCCTTAGGACTAGTTCCCTTTTTTGTTGGGGAAATGGTTGCCCTGCCGTCTCTCTTAGACTCTTAGCCAGCCAGACACTCTTTGGGTCATGTTGCCAGTGTCCATCTCAACAGTATAGTAACCTGTGCCATTTAACACTGGCCTCCTGATCACCAGGCAACCTGAATGGGCCATAGTCTCATGACCAGTGTACAGTGGTCCAGGGTGTCGGTATTTAGAGGTTTATAGCTGAAAATCATGTTTCCTGTACTGTTGTCCATGCCCTGGTACTAGCTGTACTCCAGGACATCTTCTGGGACATTTTCTAGGGTCAGAACGGTCCGGTAACTCTCCACTCCTGTGAGTGAGTCTGGGCAAATCCCCCACGCCAGCAAACTGGCTGAGGAAACCGGAGGGAGAGGGGAGAAGAGGGGAAGAGAGAGGGGGAAGGGGAGGGGAGGAGAAGGGGGAGGAGGAAAGTGTAGGGAGAGAGGGTGATCCAGGTAATTCTTTTTACAATTCTGTAACTGTCAGGATTGAATTACAATGTCTCCCACCGGCTCAGTTTGAATAGCTGTTCCCCAGTTGGTGGCGCTATTTTGGGAGGCTGTGGAGTCTTTCAGGGGGCGAGGTCTCAGTGGTGGGAGGGAAGTAGCTCACTATGGGTAAGCCCTTAGCGCTCATCCCCAGCCCCCCTGGTATATGCATGGTGTAATGAGCCTCCGCCATAGCTAAGGCTGCCGTGAGCAGAACGGCTTCAACATGCCTTCCCCCACCCCCAATACGCTGGACTGAAACGCTCCCTCCCCTGCTCCTGCCAGGAATCGCCACAGTGACGCCAAAGCAACTAACACTATAAATTAAGAGTTCCTAGTACACCTGATCTAGAGTTGGCCCATCTTGTAGAGACCTGACTTTGGCTCCCAGCACCTACAGTGGGTTGCTTACAACCTAACTCCAGCTCGGGGGGTCTCCAATGGATACCTGTGTACATATGGTGAATGCATACACTCGAGCACACACATATACACATCAAATAAACAAAAAAAAAATTAATCTCTGAGAGTTTCCGGTTCAGGCATGACCCCGTCTCCTCCGTCCTGTCTTGTTTTCTGTATCTTCTCTCAGCCCACCCCCTCCCTTTGCCACTAACCCTCCAGTCCATTCTTCACATGAGAGCCATGAGGACCTTAATAAAACCTAAGACGTGCCCCTTACTCCTGTGTTCACCAACCTCACCCCCCCACCCCGTACGCTGGTCCCCATTCCTCACATAGACCTGGCTCCACCCCCATTTGCAGCCTCCCTGTGGACTCTCCCTTCGCCCTGATTTCTGATGTCTCCTGACCAGCCTGGGGTTTCCTTCTGGGTTTCCTGGCATCCTGAGATCCCGTACCCCAGCCTTGGCCACTGGGATTTTTAGTTTGAGGACACACCTGTGAGCTCCAGGCAGACAGGGCTTGGCTGTGCCGGTCAGCACTGGGTACAGAGCTCTTTGATGGATGTATAGGGCAGCACCTAGCATGACCATTGTGTGGCGAGGGAGGGGGGATGAATGCAGGGAAGCGTATCTGGGACCGGCACAGTTTTGATTGCAGATCTAAATCCACAGAAGAGGGTGTGCATGGGGTGGCACTGCTACCCCCTTGGATACTAATTGGTGTCCCCTACTCTGTAATGACTGAGGTTTGGCTATGGGGTTAGTAAAAGTGCCTGAGACCCTGTTCCACACTGCAGGGCGAACACTGGCATATTCAAGGCCAGTATCTGTGTGTTAGGGAGCCTAAAGGGTCCTAGAGAAGGAGGGGTTAGAAAGGGACCTAGGCTGGGTAGGAAGGAAATCCAGGCAGCCAGGGGAACCCCAGGGAACAAGAGGTTGCAGGGAGAAGGGTGACGGGAGATGTCATTCTGTATATGTTTCTCATACTGGGTAATAATAAAGCACTGTTGGCCAATAGGAAAGCAAGATAGGAGAGACAAGGAGGAAATAGGAAGTAGTAAGGAGGAGCCAAGATGGAGAGTCTGGAGAGAGCAGGACGTGACAGCCGGCTTCGGGTAAGAAGACCACATGGAAATACATAGATTAACACAAATGGGTTAATACTTAAGACAGAGCTAGCCGATAAGAAAGTAGTAACTGGCCAACAGTATAATATCAAATATAGAGTCTGTGTGTGTTATTTGGGGCTGGCGCGGCACCGAGACAAGACCAGTGGTGGCGGGTGGAAAAACCGTACTTCTTACAGAAGGGTGTCCAAGTGCACCAGTCCACATGGCAGGTAGGTACAACTGCATTTCTCTCTCCCTCTCTCCCCGCCCCCCACGCTCTCCATCTGCACGTGTTCTTGCTGCGGCATGTCTGAGTCTGTGTCTCATCTGTCCGTGTCTCTGTGGGTGAGATATACCCCGATGTGTGTGCTCTCCAAAGTCCTGGTGAGGGGCCTGTCTCCAACTCTCTTCTTCCTGCTGCTTGCATCTTCAGACTTCTGGGTTATGCCCCACACGTCTGTTTCCCACCCCTTCCCAGCTGAGCTCTTGGCTGCCCTCCCCTCAGCCTCAGAAAGAAGATTCTTTCCCCAGTTACCTATAAGGGTAAACCACCTCCAGGGGCTGCAGCTGGGCCTGGAAAAGTCCATGAGCTTCTTCGGTACTCCAGAGCTTGGATGGTTCCACTGCAACATCCCAGCCCTGGCCTCCCCTCTCCAGTGTGGCTTCTAAGATGGACTCTGCCCAGCAGGGAGGGTGGACCCGTAGCAGCCACCTCTTATCTTTACAGTTTTATATTGCCTTTCAGCATTAACTTATCTTACATGTATACTTATTAATATTTTTTTCCTGGCTATGACACCAACACCACCAGCTTCTTGCTAGTTTTCATAAACTGGGAAATACAGAAAAGCAGTTACAAAGGCAAGAGCATCCTGTGTCTGTTGGTTGTTTCATTTTGGTGGTTGTTCCGGCACTGGGGAATGAACACAGGACCTTGCATGCTAGGTAAATGTTCTGCCACTGAGCTATATTCCCAACCACAAGCAGCCCTGTGTGTGTGTGCCAGGGATTGAACCCAGGGCCTTCCGCATCTTTACGTTTTCTTAAACTCTTTCTTTCGAGAGGGAATGCCGCAGTGTGTGCGAAGGCTAGAGAATACACAGGAGTATGTGGGTGCCCTGCCTCACTCGTGGGTGCCAAGCGCTTTTACCTGCCCAATCCTCCTTTCAGCCAAAGACCATTAGGTTTTAATGCTGTGTCTCCTTTCCGTTTCACCCGTTTTCCCTGTGATCAGCCTTTTGATTGCTTTGTCTTGGTTTATGACTATGCTCTTTCTCTCCACAGCATAATTCCCCATGTCACACTCCCCCGTGTTCTTCATCAGGACATTTTTTACTGACTTACTTATTAATTCTACATCCCAACTGCAGCCTCCCCTCCCTCCTCTCCTCCCTCTCCATCCCCCCACCTTCCCTTTCCCCCCTCCCCAATTAACACTTCCTCCTCATTTGCTCAGAAAGGGGCATTGGTGTCAGCAAAGCCTGGCATATCAAGTTGCCTTAAGACGAAGCACCCCACCCACCCACCCACCCACCCACCCATATTCAGGCTGGGCAAGGCAGCACAGCGTGAGGTTCCCAAGAGCCAGCCAAAGCACCAGGGACAGTCCTGCTCCCTCTGTTGTCCCGCCATTTTTAAAGTCCTGTACTAGCTCCACTCAGTGGAAACTTTGTGACATCACACACACACACACACACACACACACACACACACACACACACACACACACACCACAGATGGCAACAAACCACATATATGATGACAGCCCTTTAGGATTAAAACGAAGGCTACAATCCTACCATAGGGTAGCTATGGGAACAGCCTGGGTCAGATGATCAGAGGATAGCACACTTTTTCTATTGCAGTGATTTAACACTATGGCCAAAAGTAATTTGGGGAGGAAAGGGTTTATCTCAGGGTACAGCTCTCAGGTAACACTCCATCACTGAGGGAAGTCTGGGCAGAAACCCTAGGCAGGAACTGAAGCAGAGACCATGTAGGGATGCTGTGTACTCACTGCTTACTCAGTCTCCTTTCTTATACAACCCAGGCTCACTTGCCAGGAGGTGGTACCACCCACAGAGAGCTGGGACTTCCCACAACAATCATCACTCAAGAAAATGCCCAACAGACTTGCCTAAAGGCAATCAGTGGAGGCATTTTCTTAATTGACATGCTTTTTCCAAAATGCATCTTGGTTTGTGCCAAACTGATAAAGAAAAAAAAAGAAAAAAAGAACCAGTCAGCGCACAGACCTATTTGTGCTCCAGCTAAGACCTACCTAGTGCTCTTTGCTACCTTCCTGCAATAGGGTAAGGCCACTGGTTACTCAGAGCTCTCATGACCTAACTGTCTGGGCACATCCTCGATACATACTCCTAGGCATTTCCAGACACTAAGTTGACACTGTCAGTCATCACAGGGCTGGAAAGATGGCTCTGCACTTGCTGCTGTTACACAGGACCCAGATTTGGTTCCCAGAGCCAACATGGCAGATCATAACTGTCTATAACTCCAGCGTCAGAAGAACCAATTCTGACCTCCATGGGCTTCTGCACACATACAGGGCACATAAACTCACATAGGCATGCATACACACACATATACCAACAAAACCTCAAAGTGTGTGTGTGTATGGTTGCTGGAGAAATGGCTAAGCAGTTAAGAGAGAGAGAAAGAGAGAGTTTGTGTTGCTGGAGTTTTCTTTCCTGCCTGGTCCCACTGCCCTCAGCCCCAAATAAACACACAGACTCTATATTAATTACTGGCTAGCTCTCTTTTAATTATTAACCCATTTCTATTAATGTATGTATTTCTACATGGTCTTGGCCTACCAGAGAATGCCCGGACCTGTTACTCCTTTTGGCAGCTACATGGCATCTCTTTTTTCCCCTCTGCCTGCCCTTCCCAGAATTCTCCTTGTCTTCTAATGCCACCTGTCTTCCTGCCTCTATTGGCTGTTGGCCAAACAGTGTTTTATTCATCGACCAATAAGAGAAACATATACAGAAGACATCCCCCATCAGTTTTGGTCCCCAGAATCTACATCAGGCTACTGATGGGAATATCATTCTGTAAATATGTTTCTTATTGGTTAATGAATAAAGCACTGTTGGCAAATAGGAAGGCAAGATAGGCAGGACTAGGAGGCAAGGGGGATTCTGGGAGATGTAGTTGAAGCTAGTCAAGACGTAAGGACTTGAGAGAAGAGGTCTGGACCCTCAGGTAAGATATGATCACATGGAAACACTTAGATTAATAGAAATGGATTAATATTTAAGGCAGCTAGCCAATAAGAAATGCTAGTAACAGGCAACAGCTTTATATCTAACACAGCGTCTCTGTGTGTTATTTGGGGACTGATGTGGCTCTGGGACCAGGCTGGCGGGAAAACAGCTCATAACAGGCTACTGACAATTGTTTATACTCTAGTATCAGGGGACCTGATCTGGACTACATGAGTATCTGCACACACATGTTTATTAACTACCTCCCCCACACACCCACACAAACATACACATTACTGAAAATAAAAATAATCTTAAAAAATCACTCATTAAGAAAAATTAAGTACCGCCGTAGACGGATTTTCTTTTCCACCACCAGCCCCAAATAATTACATGGAGACTTACTATTAGTTATGAAAGCTCAGTCTTAGCTTAGGCTTATTACTAACTAGTTCTTAGAACTTAAACTAGCCCTTATTTTTTAATCTGTGCTCTGTTGCCTCCTCTCTCCACATTGCCTATGCTGCCTCTTCCTCCACATTTGCCGGGCGACTCTGCCTCTCTTCTTCCCAAAGCTCTCTCTGCCCAGCCTATGCCTCCTGTCTAGCTATTGACCGTTCAGCTGTTTATATCAGGTAAGAATTACAGTTAAAATGTCCAGTCTTTCTGTATTTGGCAAACTTAGAGAAACTATTCCATTAACTACCTGATGGGAGGTGTCATTCTGTAAATATGTTTCTCGTATTGGTTCATGAATAAAGCACTGCTGGCCAATAGGAAAGCATGATAGGCGGGACTAGGAGACAAGGAGGAGAGAGGAAGTAGTAGGGAGGAGATTCAATATGGAGGAAAGAGAGCACAATGGGGCCTCTCCGGTAAGATAAGACCACGTGGAAATACTTAGATTAATAGAAATGGGTTAATATTTAAGACAGAGCTAGCCGATAAGAAATGCTGGTAACAGGCCAACAGCTTTGTATCTAATACAGTGTCTCAGTGTGTTATTTGGGGCTGGCGCAGTGTGGGACCAGACCGGCAGGGGAAAAACATACTCATAACAACTATCCTATCTCGGTGAGTCAAGTTTTGTACCTAATTTACTTTATAACCTAACTTATATTGCTAATCTAAAACTATCTTTTTTAGATCTCAAAACATTTTCTTGGATAAGCAATTTAAACTTTTATGTCTCTCAACCTTATATACTTTACACCTCTTTTGTGAGTTTTTTTCTGAATTTGGTAACAAGGAAAACTGTAACTAAACTATCTAGTCTTTAACTCTATTAGACACTGGAGGATACGGTATTACCTGAGTAAACTGGAGGTACAGAGCAAACATCTTCCAAAGCTATAGAAATGACAAAAACAGCTGGCTGCCTGGACAGTCAACCAAAATTCCTCTGCAATGTTGGGGCATCCATCTTTGGCCCACAGGCCTAGAATGTCTGACAGACTTTTCTGTGAAGCAGAAATTCTGAAGAACTATCCTCCCTTGTCTTGGTAAAGTTTGTTAGTCGATTTCTTTTGTGTCCTGCTGTTCCAGTTTGGACAGCATACTGTCAGCAGTCAATCCAAGGACAGTTTCTTGCCCAGCAGCTAACTTTGCTACACTAAAGGTAAACTACACATGGAGGCGTTTCTGTGCCCATCATCCTCTTTTGAAGCAAACTGGTGCTGTCAGGAGCAGATGTGTCTCACTGTCATGAAAAGCCTTAGGTTTTAAATGCCATATTCTGTAGGTTTCTCAAGTATTTGAAGACCACCTATCTATCTAAATGCATACATACATACATATATCTGCTGTCTTAGTTGGGGTTTTTATTGTTGCAACAAAACACCATGACCAAAAGGCAAGTTGGGGAGGAAAGGGTTTATTTGACTTACACTTCAGCATTACTGGTCATCACTGAAGTATTAAGGCATGGGGGTTGGGTTCACTGGGTCTGTGGAAAGAAGACTCAGAGACACCTTAAGAATGAATTTAGCCTTTCAAAGTTGCAGGGGGGTCCAGCCTCTAAGAACTGAAGTACTCTCCCTTCACCCAGGGCATTTGTTATTTTTCTGAATATTTACATTTTAGTCCGTTGATTACCATATGCTCAAAACAACCCAAAAGAAACTCCCAAAAGGACAATCCAAGTGGGAATTCAGTTTTCTGTTTCCCAGAATCTCTCCGACTGCTAGGCTCTCCTTAATGTGGCTAGAGACTAATTCTCAGAATGAATGTTTCTACCTTTTATACCTCTCAAATCCTGGGATTAAAAGCATGAGCTCTGAGTCACTCTTAAGTATCCCAGGGTGTTCTTGAACTCAGAGATCCCTTTACCTCTTAATCAAGAGTCCTGGGAATAAAGGTGT